TTATTCAGGGTTGTCTAGGGCGCCCAAACATCGTTAAACTGCAAGACAATATCGTGCGCATAATTAAGGTCAACTGGCTTTTCACCAAGCAGCCCCTCAACGAGCGCGTCGCAAGATTGCGCAAGGGAACTCTCCATGATGGAGCGAAAGACGAAATTGAAGAAAAATGTAGAAATTGGACAACGTTGACGAACGCCACTTGTTGTCGGGAAGATATCCGACAAGTCACCGTAGACCCTAGCGCATCCTGTGGAAAGTAAAGTGTTCACATATTTTATGGGAACATCTTTCCGCCCAAATAATTGGAATGAAATGGATCGGTCGATCTATCGAGTTGAACACAGTCTAGGAACACAGCCAGTGTCGGTCTGCAGTATGCGCGGCGCTGCTTTAGCACCCGTCGCAAGCCCGTGGCGTAGCTGTACGCTATCGGGCGCGTCCCCAGGCTGCGGAGTGTGGAATGCCTTCATTGTAAAGGTAACTGCGAATAAGTCCCCTCTGCTTGCAGACGAGATGAATAAGCAGTCGCGGACAATCGGCGGCAGCGTCTTAGAACGTGGATGGTTCTGGGCTGGTTCTCCATCAAATACCACAAGAGCTCGTACGGCGCTGTGTCAAAGTCAATGTGACAAGCTATAGGGTCACTGACCACTCACTCACTTCCGGAACTGGAGGTGAGTATTTGACCGAAGGCGAATGAACAACGTTGCTGGACACCGGCTTCTCTGTGGACTGCAATCAAACACAAAGAAGGCGAATGTGTCACCTGTTTGTCAACTGTCTTCGTATTTGCCCCGCTGCCTTGCGGGTCAGGTCTTTAAGACCATAGGCTTGGGGTGGGTTCCCTTAAGCCAACCCTCTTCCTCAGAATGAGAAACCGGGAAGCTTTCTGCCCACACAACACATGGATCTTCGCATCCCCTCCCCTGACACTCTTCCTCCTTTTTTATTGCTACTCATGTGTGGTGGCACTCTGCCAAAGGTATTTTGGTCAAGTGTTATATATGGTTGGCGGCATCCGGTTCCGGATTTGCCTGTCACTGTGGCCAGCCACAGGACGCCTGCACCTACAGAGGGACCATGCATGGCTTGTACTGCACCACTCACAGCTCCACCCACACACCCCATATCCAGTATAAACCCGAAGGAATAAGACCGGGACATGTGTGGATGGGAGCCACGTTTCATCAACGGAACCAGCCCCCACTCCCACACAGGCAAACACAAGCACGCTGTATCTGGGTAATCAAGCGCACATAAGGCGGTGGTTGGACCACAGTCCACTCCACATTGAGTGCATGGAACCACTCTTCGAGCCTAGCACGACCACAAGAACCGTGCAACCCGTCCCCTCTAGCAACGACCAACTGTCTCCTTGAGCCAGTATGGACGAGATAGTGGGTAACAGACAGGTAGGCACCTTGTCAATATGCACATCGAACGTAGCCACACCGGGGATGTCAAACAACAGCCAATCATTCGAAATGCCAATATCATAAAAAAGATATCGAATAAAGCAAACCTATATGACGACATAAATACTCGCTAAATTAGCATATGGAGTAAATTGGTTACAAGGGAATCCGCGAAATGTCCGTAGGTTATTTAAAAATTACTGCGTGATCAAGTCACTCAAGGTTACCACAATTAGCATGAGCGACGTATGCAAGTTAGGAGATTATCAAGTATGTAGAACAAAGCGAATAAAGTGGAATGAATTTTATCCACATTAAAAAGACCTAGTTTAAGTGTAAGTTGGTTTAGCCCAACTGCGGTGAAGAAGCATCATGAATGCCACATCAGCCTCAGCATGGGGCACACATACATACATGGTTGGCGGCATCCGGTTTCGGATTCGTCTGTCACGGTGGCCAGCCACAGGACGCCTGAGCCTACAGGGGGACCATGCATGGCTTGCGCTTCACCACCCACAGCTCCAACCACACACCCCATATCCAGTGTACACCCGAAGGAATAAGACCGGGACGCATGCGGATGGGAGCCACATTTCATCAACGGAGCAGGTCCACACTCCCTCACAAACAAAATAAGCTGTCTCCAGATGGGTACATCATCAGCGCATATTATTACCGACTACGGATCAGTTAAAATTATATTTAGAACTTAAATTTGTATGAATGGAGAAAGGACACTGTGTACAGGTGTCAGTTGAGTAAACGGTCAGTATAAACGAGCAACAAATAAACCTTTCCGGATAGAACAAGCTAAAAATGCATTCTGTTAGGGGGCCAGTGTTGCAAGTTAGATTTCCAATCGAGACGGTCCATCTTCAATCGCACTATGTTTTGTGTTATTCTCAAAAAGTATGCAAAGGACAGCAATGTTGATCTTGGAAATAGTTTGACAAAGATTAATGTTGAAGTAATCTGTGAAAACGATCTGTAAAAACGATGTTCAGCAAAAACAGTAAGGCCGATTTAAAGACCGCGCCTACGAATCCGGGATTCCTGTTCCGCAATGAGGCGAGGAGCAAGAAGTGAAGCCAGTAGTTTGGTCACCATCGGCGTTAAGCTATTACCTCCCTGGTTAGCATAGCCGGAGTGACTGCTCTTCTTGTATAGTGCCACTATGGTCGATTCACTCTAGTTAGCTGGAATGGTCTCCTTCGAGACATATTCGAACAAGAAGGCCAGTGCTTTGCGGGGGACCTTACTTGCATCCTTAAATAGTGCAGGTGGTAGGGAATCCGAGGCAGAAAGACCAAAACGATGGAGAGCTGGGATCGCGTTTCAGACCTCAGCCTCCGATGCAGTCTTCAATCGAACCGTTTATGGGTCATTCTGCATCACCTGAGTAAGAGAGGTCAAGAGTACGTTGAAACGAAAAAGCCACCCCCAATCCAATCTCCAACGTAGCCTCTAACCATTCACCAATTGGGTAATAGTGGCTCTGAAGTTGTGTCAGATCTGCCAATAGGTATATGATTCCGGCTGAAGTGAACCAGTCCTCTGCTAGCTCCGAACCCCAGCAAAAACCAGAAGTCAATACTTGAATGGTCCCAAGTTCGATGCCCGTTATCTACATCTGATGAGATGAAATAACATCGAAACGCGTCATAGGAGTGCAGTGTTTTCGGGCGGGCAACAACCAATTTCTATCTGCTTCAGCTACGGTCCTCTTGATCGAAAGACCAAGGTTCACTTCAATGGGAATCGCGGTCAACATTGAGATGGCGTATCACAATCCATCCACATAACGTGCACTCCAAAATGGCCGACAACGTCAGCCCAGGAGTGTTCAGGTTGCAGGACAGCTAGCTGGGTCAGCTGTCCTGATTGGTAGATCAGTTCCGCTAGCCAATGGGCAGGTAGCTACGCGCGTCGTGCGGACGCGAACGTACTTAATCGACTTGATGTTGCGGTTGTCTACCATTGGCGCATCTCGTTTTCTATTGAAATTATGAGTTTTGGTGATCGATTTTACACCCGAAGAAGTTGCAAAAGCACCACGCAGCACAACACAATAGATCGTCGAGGCCGACAGAGTGAGTACCAGCTCCGGAAGATCGTCGCTGGCACCTGTGTGAGGTGGGGTGCTCAGTTGTCGTGACAGTACTAGGCTAGAACGTGGAGATTACCAGATTTGGATGACTGAAGTTCAGATACACTGGATTCAGTGAGTGCTTTTACCTCATCTACTTCAATTGCTTAATTAACTGAGCACCGATTCTAGGAGCGAGATACTTATAAAACGTGCGCATACATCGATGGTAGATGCTGTATCCACCTATTCTGAGCATCGCTATGACCACGGAATACTAGAACGCGGATGATGAGTATGTTGATGAGATGTGAGTCTCTCTGGAACAGCTGTGAATCCAACTTGCATGACTTTCGTTAGCACACAGCCGTGTTAACACTAGGCATGGAGTGCGTAGATGACACAGATTATGTCACTTGAACTTCATCAGTGGGGATAAGCGTGCTAACGTTTTTGTTGTAGTTTACAGCGTACAGGGAGAACTTTTGGCTCTTATGCAGACTAAGGATATAATTATAAAAGAGAGCTACAGGTGTAGTGTGTGTAATACAGCAGGAGATGAGCGCGCCTAGTTTGGCGCGGGACACATTCCGGAAAAGGTGACTAACCACGGGCATGATCAAGATCGTGCGCATAAATGTGGTGGCTGGAGAAGGAGGGTAGGGTAGACAATATAAACGGTAGACCCATCGGCCGAGATTGATGCTGATTCCTATGTGGGCCAGATTGTGGTTTTATCGACCAGTTCCCGGGCGCTACTAGTGGTAGCAAGTCTGAAATATCTGAATACCGGTAAGTGCTATGCACTCGTTTGGTAGCAACATAAAGTGCCAAGATGCTGGTGTTGTTGTTGTTGCAGTTTTAGCACCGCGGATTTGAGCATCAGTGAAGCTGAAGAGCTGCAGGATGCCAGTGAATGACTGCGTCAAGAAATGGTTCCTGTAGAGATTGGTCACTTGTAAGAAAAACCCAAGAGACAATGAAACAACGCTGATATGTGATTCGCTTCATATTCCTGGATCCAAGGTAAACGGTGACACTAAGAGCAGGCCCGTGGTTCTTCGGTGTCATGGTAGGGCACTAGGTGCATAGAAAACGGAGACCTTTGATCGGTTCGAGTGGTGAGTAGAAAATGATTCAAACTGATGGATGGCGCAGCGTGCTCATTCCTCAGCTGTTTGTTTCTGATGATAGAGTGACCAAACGTAAAGACGAAGGAAAAAAATCCCCAAAAGCTGCTATGGAATTAGGTCACAGCGCTGAACTTGGAAGTACTCACGAAAACAACCGGCTTATGAAACAGCTATCCAGAAACGTTACTGTTACATACTATATATATGTGGTTACACATGACTGTAGATTATGAGAACGAGGGGAAAAGTGTGGTTTGAAAAAAACATAACGATCGTAGTCATACACACAACGAAAAGATAATAGTTTGGTGAGCTACTGAACCACGGCAAAGTAATATTTTTCATTAAAAAACCGCTGAAACGTACTTGTGCTCCACAGTGTTGAATGATACGCTGCATCTCTTCGTGTACTAGCTCGACACAACGGAGGCTCGGTTCTTCTAAGCGTCTGATCTGTCGTTTGACAAGTAGTTCAAAAGAAACCTCCGGCACGAATAAGGCGGGTCTAGGGCCGGTTGCGTTGCGGATGGCAGTGAGAATGTCCAAGGTGGACAAACCGCCGAGTGGATCAATGCGGCTGAGAGTGCGGTAGAATGTTTCGTGAAAAATGTAGCAAATGCGTGCGCCACCACACAACTCCGTTGTTTCAATATCCTTCGCGATTCCGTCAATTGTGTTACAATAGGCTGTATTAAATTTGGTGATAATTTGCAGAAGCAGTTGACCCTGTGTAAGGGAAGTGTGCAGCGTAAATTAACAGCAAAAGAGGAATCCCGTCGTCGACTCAGTATGAAAAGACAAGCTCATCTAATGCGCTCGAGAGTACTGTGGCACACAAGGGCGCAAGCGTTAGTCGGCAATAGCGAACACAAGCTCGATAAGATTTCATCGAGAAAGGGTCATATTGAGGCCGTTATGTGACAAAGAATACGCAGGTGCAACACAAGTGGTCATCAGGCGGTATCCAAGTCAAATTAAAAAAAACTAAGCAAGGTGCGATAGCTAACTGCATGCGAGAATGTGCTAAACTGACAACTACAACTGCGGTTAATGCAAACCAAGAACCGAGTGGACGATAAAGAGCGGAGTAGGACACTAACCAGATGATAATCGCACCAACACACGAGGATAACATGTAGCAAACTGGACCGAAACTCGGATAGGTTCCAACGAACTAATTCACCGCGCCTACTGGCGAATGATAACAGCAAAATTCGAGATGCGCAGAGTTCGGTAAGATAGATAAGCATAACCCTAAAGGTTGACAGGAAGGTTAACAGGAAGTCTAACGTGTATCGGACTTGGAATGCTTAATTGATAGCTGTAGCAGCAGCAGCACTAGCACCATTATTACCGAGATGAGCGAGATTACCATCATAAAAATTACGATATACTGATGGTTTGCGACGAACAATCATAATAATCCAACGAAAAAATATTAGCCAAAAGAGGGAGACTTAATATAATATTTAAATGCCAAAAACAAGCATCAAGGACTGAGGCGCATGTGCCTAACGAACAATGTACGGTCAATCCCAGCTGACTGTGACACGAAGATAAGGCGACATGGGTAGGAGAACGTTGCTACGACGGCCACCATTCCACTGCACAAAGGGTTAGTGTGAACAACTTAAACAAACAGGTAAGCTTGTTAACTGGACACTCGCACGAAACACGTGGAACGGAGAAAATAATCGTCCAAAACTGCCAAAAATACTCAAATCAACTCCGTTTCGATCAAGTCTGCATTGCATCGAGGATGCTGCGGTGAAAGTAATCCTCCTATCCGTTTATCACGCTGAGTCAGACCGTTTGCAAGTTCTGGTCATGTGACAAAGCTCAACGACATGGCGATATAAACAAGATACCAGCATTACGTCGTATCCGCACTTCGCTGTCTCATCACCACCAGTCGCGTGCGAGCTGGGTAGGGTACGAAATCACCCGCGTCCATGCAGGTCTGAACCAGTGGTCGTTGGCATACGAGCCAGACGCACTGGGCCACCGGCCGGCATTATTTGAAGTGTTGGTCGGCCCGTGAATACCTGTTTGTGTACGGAATGTGCTGAGCGAAAAACAAGACTGGAACGTTCAACCACATATTGCGTCCTCACATTTTTCTTGTGGTCACCCTACCTGCTCCACGAACAGGTATATTCAAAATGTTTGTACCTTGTTGGAATGAAGTGACTGGTTCAGTCACACAATATACCGGGAAGAAACGGAAGGGGATATTGCCTGGCCACTTGGATTCACGCTCAACGTTAAATCTGCAAACCGTGGTTGATCAAATGACAAAGCTGTTAGGCAATACACGAAAATTTTTGTAGCTCGGGGTGCGAGTTGATTTCTGGACTCAATGGTTTCTTTGCAAACTTTTTCGTCGCCAAATCAGATGACATCATCAGTGCAAATTACACAGCGATTTGCAAGCAGAAGTGGTTTAATATCGGTCACTGCTTAAGAAGATGCCACGAAGCATTAGCCGCTTATTGCGAAGTATGCTCTGGTAAGCATAAAGCACTATCGTTCCACTTAACTGATGATCTATAGATAAGCCAAATAACGACTCAAAAAACGAAGTGCCATAGCTTATCTTACAACGTTTGGAAATCGTTATCACTTGTACCAACAACACGCCCTCACTTGTATTGGCGCTCCGATAACAAGATACAGAGAGAGGTAAATGTTAACGGGAAAGGAGAGAAGGGAGGAAATGAGAACTAAATAACCAGATCAAACTGCGGGCATCGAGACGACTGCAGATCGCCAACAACGAACGGTCACAAACTGCTGGTAGACATGTGAAGATAAAGCAGCAATCGTGAAACAAACTGCTTGAAGCTTTCAGTGGCTCTCGTTATAACCAAGCTTATGCTACCGAGAACTCAACAAGTTATTTACTGCAGACAAGCAATCTGACCGGAAAACAGTAAACAAAGCATTGGTGCTGGTTACCGAGCATGTCCTCTAATGTTTCGACCCAATCGTACAGTGGGTTGCATGCACACAAGCTTGGAAAATATCCTGAAGCAGTAATGAAGAACCTACTGACCAGCGTAATGGTTTCTTGCCGTCAGGCAACTGACTGTGTCTTCGAAACTTACATCAAAGTCGGACAAACTAACAAGTGCGACACTGCAAACACCACTGCGGACACAACCGAATCGATCAGCTGTCTCCAGCTCAATGTCGTTCATAGGACAAACCATGGCTGGTGACCCTGCAACAGTACTCTGCCCTTTGAAGACATAATTTGCGTACAAAAAGTGGGACGTTTCCCGGGTTCGCGTTCACCATTGAATGTGCCAGCTAGCGAAAGTCATCCGAATGATTCAGATCAACCGGATTTCGCCGGGGGGGGGGCAGTCCACCATAAATTTGATAGAAATTGGGCAATCCTGGTGTGCACATTTGCTTCCTGCGAAGCGTCTGAAGTGATGAGTTGGCCTAGCAGAGTAAAAACGCCCGCATATCTCAAAAGGACACCGTACGCTAATATGCAGGGCAAGGTGAAGGGCTCATCTGAGTCCAACGCGAACTTGAAGCCGGAAGACAAAGATGGCGATTGCATGCTGCGTTACGTGGTGCGGAATGGAATACTGAGCATATCGGAAAAAAGCATGATGCACACACTGCAAGAAACGTAAAAATAAGAAAAACCCACCTTATCCTCAACCTCATCGCCGAAAGTGTTGAGCAAGTTCTGGAACTGGGCAGCCATAACGTTAACGCGAGTCTTGAGTTCCGGCAAACAATCACGAATGTGATGCATTAATAACTAAAAGAAAGGAGCGGTGAAACATGACTTGTGATGTTCCGACATGAAAGGGCGGCGGTTTGCAGAATAGGGCCACCGTGAAAAAGAACATGAACTAGAAATGTGAATAACTAAGGATAAGGTGAAGAAAACGAATAAAAAATAACCATACAGGCACAGTGCAAATTGATAACAGGCGAAAAGGTTACCCGATTCAAAGTTCTGGCCAAACACGGAGTTCCATTTCGACTGGCCAAGGAGGGGTACCGTCGCTGGAGAAAGCTAGCCTCGTCCTGTAGGGCTTCTTCAATTGTTTTACCCGATTTGATATCTGCCTGAGATCGATTAACCACACCGACGATGCCCAACTTGACAGGGACCACTCGGCCTAAGAGTAAATCATGTGCGTCAGTGCCATGATCCATTAGATCCAACTTGGTCAGAATGCAAAGTGTGCGTCGTCCTGTGATAATACAAAAGGGAATGATAATTCTGAGTTATTAGGGCAAGAAGCATTGCACGTTCAAAGCTAGGGCACTTTAATGTTCAAGATAAACAAATGATATCATTTGATGTCTGTTCCCTTTTCACGAACGTTCCTTTGTATGAGACATTGAACATCATAAGTGAGCATGCGAACAAAGTTGGCCTGCCTGCACATCGATTGAAGACGTTACACAGAATTTGTCCGAAAGACGTCCAATTTTGTTTTGATGGGGATATGTATCGTCAAATTGAAGCTGTTGCGATGGGCAGCCCTCTCGGGCCGATTCCAGCTGACATCTTTATGGGGCATTTGAAGAGTAACTTATTACGCGATGTCATTGGAGCAACACATTTACACGAGGTATATCGACGATACTTTTGTTGTAGTTGACACCATCCAGCAAGCGAAAATCCTTTTGGAAACATTAAACAAATGCCATCCTAACATCAACTTCACTATGGAAAGTGAATCAGAGGATTCATTCCATTTTCTTGACGTTGCACTTAAAAAAAAGTGCAGATGGTTCACTTAAAAGATCGATTTACCGGAAACCGAGCTGGATCGGACAATCCCTACATTTCAACAGTTACTGTCCAATGAAGTATAAACGATCCCTACTTCGAACTTGTTTTGCTAGAGCACACCGAATATGCTCTGAAGAGTCAATCGAGGCTGAATTACGATACATCAAAGCTAACCTACGGTATGGGAATGAGGCTGCTAAGAAAAAAACACGAATGGATGTCCCAAAGAAAAAGGTCTTCATCACGCTACCATATCAAGGGGAACAGAACGACAGAAGATTGTGCTACCGATAACGCCAAGTCATTGCTTCGTTTCACCGAAGCCTCTGCCATCCGACGAATGAAACCAAACCTTTGCAAACAGATAGACCTTGTGGCCAGTCATGCCCTGCCCTGGTAAGACGCAGGCGATGACCTTGATTTTCTCAGTGTTTTATTGATTTTCTTATTGACTCTTTTTCAATTGCACTCCTTTACTCTTTCCACGAATTGTCTGTAAGCGGCTGAATGAGAAGACAAGAAATAATCTGAATTCAGGTTATCCCGGAAAAATGCTGTTCGTTCTTGCTCTCTTAAATTTCTGAGGGGAAATGGCTGCATAAAATTCTGAAAGTAAAAGTGACGTGATGTTGAACGTGATCACAAAACCAAAAAGGACAGTTCAGTAGCTTGAGGATGACAGAGTCCAAAGCTATCCCAGAAAATAATCGATCAGAACATTCAATAAAGCGGTCAGAGAATATCACTCAAACAGAATAATCATAGACAACTCGGTAATACGAAGCACTTAAGACTTCAGAAGTAATTGAATCTGATGTCAAATCATCGCAAACTGAAATGCAAGCCTGGTTGCAAAAAGGAAATATCCTCGTGAAGAACGGAGTTAACGCAGTGACAAACCGGCATGAGCTACAGTGACAATGTGGTGTATGCGAACACGAAAAACTTGTTTCAGGGGACAATACGGTGCAAGCGGGGGTGTCTTGGTGCTAGCTAATTTTATAATGTGCTCTGTGATCACGGGTGGATTACGAGACGTTAGATAACTTGAGTGGGAAAGGAATCGTTCGGGTCCCTTAGACACTAGGAGCGCAATCAGTTCTAGTCATGTAGAGTGGCGTTCAGCCGTAAACTACAAAAGAAACGCGTTCTATCGTTGCGAAATACATTGAGAAATCCGATCATTCAGCGCTCCAACTGACCCAGTGAGCTAGGTACTAGACCAAATATTGCTCTGAGATAAGTGGATTCATTGTGCTCAGTACCTTAACACAATGACCAATAATAACTAACAATCCAACGGTTGAATAATCGCTTCAAGCACAGAGCGACATTTATCCGTTGAACTATGAGTTTAGTGAACGCGTTCAGTCTAGGTGACAGACGATGGTGGAAACAACGTGCAGGATAAAACGAGTCAGATAAAAAAGGGATTAAAAAATTAGGGACAGGAGCATACCATCTGGGTCGACTGCCTTAGCCAACTTCAGGCCTTCACTTGTAGCCATATCGGTATTGGCTGGTGTGACGGCCAGTATGATGCAATTGGGATTTTGCACATATTGTAAACACAGCTGATTAATCAGAGACTCGATGTCTTCTGGCTGGTCACCGACAGGAACTTTGGTGATTCCCGGAAGATCGACCAACGTCAGGTTCAGAACACGAGGACTATAGATCTTCAAATTGATGGGTTCACTGCTAATTGCCTAGAAAAGAAAAAAGTGATGTGCAAAAAATGCACCTTCGTTCAAAAGAGAAAGCTTAGAAATCATAAGAAGTAAAGAGGTGATGAGTCACTAGGGAAATACGGGCGACTTGGCAACGAAATGCCGGTTTTGTAGGATCACTTGCTGGTTTCTAAATATGGACAAGGCAAGCAGTCCAAAAGGAAATTTGTTCGTGTAACCTGTTACCTGAAAGCACTACATCTAGACGATGAAATAAATAAATTTACTTCAGACCAACTGCATTATAGTACGCGAAACAAATAGGTTGTTAAGAAAAGGTCAATGAAAAGTACGCTCGCGAAAACTACCAATCGGCGAGGCGCTTAAATTCGTCACTGTGTATCATGAGCTCAGCCCGATAAAACTGGACGTAAGAACCATATATAAAGGAGATTTCCTCCCAATGCGCTTACGGAGAAGCTTGCTGGTCTCGAATGAATCGACCAGATGGTGGATGGATTTTTCGTGCGTTGGTTATTTTTTGATAACCGAGAAAAGTGATCCCAAGTCTATTTTAATAATCCGAAATAGCGTCTAATAGTAGTATTCAGATTAATCGATAGTAATGGCGGATGGGAAATGCTGATGAGATTGTGAGGCCCAGTGCGATTGGAGACAATTGATTTCTGATTTTCTCCACACCGAACGAAGATCTAGATCAAATGATTACTGCAAAAGTTTGATAACAGGTCAATATGGGAACAGGTTGTTGGCTGTTGTTCTAGACCTGTTCACAGGCTTGATACATCACGATCATTCGCTTAACAACACGAACACAGAAAAAACATTGGTGCCATGCCCATCATTACTGATGGAACGTTCCGAAAAGAGAACATTATGTGTAGAAAATCAGCTACCCTTCCCCGAGGTTGCCGTAAGAGAACAACCTTTCGGTAGTTGTTGATCTCTCTAAAAACTACGACAGCGGTTTGTGATCCTGTTTAACGTAGATAAAATGGGAAACTGAGAGGCATTTTATGGCTTCGGAATGCACAGTGGATATGGCGCTGCTTATAGCGTATTCAAGTTCAAAACAACCAACCTTCCAAATGCAGCTCACAAAATAATGGGACAGTGTGGATCTCAGTGACATGATCACCAGCGTCAGCGAAGGGGTGAAGATATGGCTACTGTTCACAACCGATACAGACATGTGATGCACTAAGCACCGCTTCATTCTGGCTAAGAAACGACGAGAAAGTTGTTCGATGAATAACCTGATGGTGCGTGGGAACGTCAAAAAAGTTGACGGCTGCATTGTTTGAGAAGTTTGCATCTCAATGAGTACGGTTTGCCCGGAATAAGTGTGGTTGAATAAAAAGGGGAACAATAAAATACGAACAAGCAGACTATCATTTTGGGTATAGACAACAGAAAACAATGCATCCATGATCGCATATATAGACAAGATGTCGTTTTGTCGAGAAAGCAGTGTCTGCTACAACATAACACACCGTTCATGGAACTATGAAACAGCGAACATGCCCAAGTATGATAAACAGTCAAGATACGGTAAGTATTACGTTCGGTATAGAGACAAACTGTCAGAGAAACGAGAAACTGCAAAACAGAGTAGCAGACAATCGCGCACACATCTGACTTCACAAAGTTGTAGACTGAAGCGGAGTAAAGACAATTTTGCTTGCATCTCACATCACCATAGATCTACGTACGTAGTATTTCTCACAAGAACTAAGTCGGAAGGCGGCGAAGTTTTCCGTAAAAATCGACATTCCGATCGTACGGCGATTCAGGTAAAAACGCACAGAGGAAAGTGTTAGCGAGCTCAGGAACGCTACCTGCGGCTCCCACATAGGGGAGAATTGACTGAACCGGTTCAGTATTGCTATTTTTAGCAGCATACGCAATTGACGAATAATGGGTGTTGCGCACCCGTAAACATTGCGTCCATGACTGGTTACAGAACTTGTTCGGTCTCGTGAGATAAGATAACAAGCACTCGGAGCCTTTGGGATATCCCCCGAAACCCTTACGACTAAGTGCCGGTGACCGAGTGGACAAGAAATCACACGGATGCGAATTGTGGCCTGAAAAATTGCGGTGGAAAAACTGGAAAGTGAATGATTTTGAAAGCGGAACATTTCCAGGATAAAAAAACACACGAAAGAGTGATTGAGAATTTGGTGCAGTGGCTAGGTGTGAGTCTTTACACCATACTTTCAACTGCAATGCTCACTCCGTATGCACTTTCGATGTGCGATTCGTACGCTGACAGGATATCTTCCGGATGGATCTCAGCCATCAGCATACTTTCTGCGTTGTTCGGTTGCTGCTTTACAGATTTGATACAAGAGCATACGAGGTTCGCCCCCTACCTCCGGAGCAGTCAAAAGAAATCACGTTTGATGGTGTAGTGTCGCAACCCTCTGAAACTTTTGACGAGTTGTTGTCATTGTTCCGTATTCGCTTTAGTGTACGAAGATTGTATAAGGCAGAATAGTATGGGCTGATAACAGACAGCATTAAACAGGTATGCGAACTGCTTGACTCTTACCCTTTGATGAATACTTGTTTCGGCTGCTTCATATTATTCGAGGCTTCCCCGTCCAGTATACGTCTGCTTTTCATGTTGGATCTTAACCAAAGCGGAAGCTCTTCATGGTCGAATGCAGGCTACCGCAGACTTGCACATCACCCTACCTGAGAGATATTTCTCTGACCACCTAGAAATAATATTGCTACGAGAAAAATTAAGCGTCTAATCTCGAAAGTTAAGCAATTATGACAAGTAAATCCGTTCGCATGTCTCTGAATAAATCCCCAGCCAAATGTTATGAGTGGCACGCTGCACGGTTTTGTCTATCCAAGCGGCCCTGAGTGAAATCATGGAAAAAGATTCTGCAAACATTCGCGACCATCCGTCACAACATAGAGGACACCAAAAATGTTGGTGCGGACTTCCTGTAAGTTGTAACTGCTTTTCATAGTGAATCCAAACTCAGACGAAAGTGTAGTACCGTCCCATAAACGGAATTTCTCCTTGGTTGCTGTTTGACACGACTTCGGATCTGACAGTTAATTCCATATGCAGATGGAGCCACATACTTATGCCGAAAGTAATTGCTTGTGACCAGTTGGCTCACAACACGTCTGGTGCGATACTGAATCTGATCAATATGTATAACAAGCCGGATGACTGCAGCTTAGTAGCGCGGAATCGACTCGGTTGATTTGCATGCGGAGACATGTGCCACATGTCACGCGCGACTTATCTGAATCTTTCAATGAAATATTATTAGTCCGAATCGTTTTACAAATGAGGCAATGGTTTCTTCCTTGAAAAGTTCACTTTTCCCGGACATATTTTATTTTCTTGAGAACGTCAATGTATGGTGATCTTAGGACAAATTTGTTTAGTATATGGCATTCTTCTGTATAGATTTCGGAGATCGCACTAGGCTCTGTAGTTCACATGTATTTATCTGCTAACTTGGAAATGTCCGCAGCATCATTCTGCAAACTGAAACTCCACTGTTTTTTCAAGTCAACATGACGACCATGGTAACAGTTTTTCAACGATTTTAGTTCTGTTCGTGAAAGTTCATTACGTGTAGCTACGGTCAGGTGCTTTAAGTCGTTACTTCGGTCACGGGTCGAAATGATTACACATTTGCGTTATAAATCTGAGGTCACCGATTGGAATCCGCGTAGGTTCGGGCGACCTAGTGGTATACCCAACCTTCGTGCGACTGGTAGTTGTCATGTGGCAGCAAAATTTCGGTGCGGTGTGCCGTCGTACTGATGATACCTTCCTACTTCTTGTTCTTCCTAGAATCTTAGACTTGGCGCAGCACATTTTCTTGTACATATTTCAAAATGGCATGTGAAATTGGATTCTCCTGGCGCTACCTTTTTCAGTGACGCATTCCGTAGTATTTTCCCATCCTATAGCCGACAGGTGAGAGTGCAGTATTTGCAAAACAAGCTTCGGAATGGTCTTGTGCTGAAACTATGATGGTACCTTTGCATCCTATCCCATAGATACGGTCCAGTGGCGAAAGGATCTCAAGACCACAGCCGAAAACATAAAGTGCTCAACGTAGAAGACGGCTGATAGTGTAGACAAGAATATCTTTTGTAACTCAAAATACCCAAACAGCAATTTGTGATTCGTAGGCAGCTTAAAGCTTTGATTGTAAAATAGCTTGTGGAACTTTTTCACTACCAAGATGACGGCTGATGCCTCTTTTACTAAACCCGATATTTTTTCGCTTTTGTTAACGTCTTGAGGGCGCGGATAGTAACTTGTCAGGAAATATTTGAAATCGCACTTTAAATTACTGATCTACACACATTCCAAGATAAAATTCTCGGGAAGAATCGAAGCGCGTAAACAATGGGTTTGAGGCCAATAACGACCTGACGTTCTAACGCATCCCGGAATCCTTAGTTAATCCTGGACGTGGCCAAAGATCATTATTAATCGGGGTACCCACGCGGTGCATTTAGGGCGTAAGACCCACATAGTGTGACCGATAAGACCGCGGAAGAAGCAGAACGATTTTAACGGTGGTATTCCTTGTATGACTGCTGTGTTCGTCGAATATGATATCAGCGAACTCCCCTATCGATCGTGAAATCACGGTATTTGCTAGTTAACACATGAAAACCATACATTCGGTTTCGAGAATCCGGAAGTGACCACTTTGTCTAACTTGGCAATGAGTTTTTCTGACATACAGCTCATTACGCAGCGGCTGCAGAGAATTCCACCGATAAGGTGTCAATCATACGTCGGGAGATGGGCGGTGTAGTGTTCACACCGAAAGATGAAAAGTTGTATTGCAACGGTTGGCGTTTGTTGTTGGCTGTCAGCAGTTTCTTCGAGCTCCCAGTGACGTCCACATAGAGGGAACCGAGCTTGGAGAAACACCTGCGAACGTTCGAGGTAACAAATGAGTGGCTATCGGAAACGACTAGTTTTAATCGTCAGGGGTGGTGTTAAGACCTGACGGTGA